GTTCGGGGAAATTCAGATACAAATGTTGGAGGTGGTTTTAAAACAGGTGACTCTCAGAAAAAAACAGATGATAAGAGCAAACTTTGGTGCACTCACTGCCAGAATACACGACACACGAGAGATACATGTTGGGATCTCCATGGAAAACCTAAATGGGCACAGGATTTGGGTAAGAAGTCAACACCTGATCAGGGCAAGAAATCAGGCCAGCAGAATCAGAAAAAGTATAACCTAGCTAATATGGCGTCGACAGAGACTAGTCCTTTGGTAACTCAGGAAAGGCATCCCAGTTCTGACCCTAAGGAAGATATTATCAACTCCTTTCGTGAACATTTGGAATTGTATGGTAGGACTTTCCGCCAGATGGATTCTGGTCTTACTCCCTCTACCTCGTTTGCGTCTACATCAGGTAATGCTGCCACTACCTTCCATGTGTCATCTCATACCACTGATTCTCCTTGGATTATTGACTCCGGAGCCTCAAACCACATGACTGGTAAGTCAAATTTGTTTCAGACATATAACCTTCTCTCTGGGAGAGATAAGGTAAGACTAGCTGATGGTTCTTTTTCTACCATAGCTGGTCGAGGTACCATACCTCTCCTACTTGGCCTTACCCTTCCTAATGTACTGCATGTTCCGAAATTACCTATTAATTTGCTATCCATTAGTAGTCTAACTCACTCCTTGAACTGTTCAGTCACTTTTTTTCCGTCTTCATGTGTGCTTCAGGATTTGGCCTCGGGGAAGACGATTGGTAGAGGAAGCATGGTGGATGGTCTCTACGTGTTGGAGAATAAAGCTGGTCTTGTGGCTACAGAGTTCATGAGTTCGTCAAGTGAGAGTCAAGCCTATTTATGGCATAGTCGTCTAGGTCATCTTTCTTTTGAGTCATTAAAAGTTATGTTTCCAAAGTTGTTTGAGTCCTTGTCAGTGAGTCAGTTACAGTGTCAAACATGTCAATTGAGTAAGCATTGTAGAAGTTCTTTACCTTTGTGAAATAAAAGATCTGAATTTCCATTTCATATTGTTTATTATGATGCTTGGGGCCCTGCTACTCTACCTACCGAGGCTGGCTATAAGTACTTCATTACTTTGATTGATGATTATTCTAGATACACCTGGGTTTACCCTATGCGATCTCGAGATGAAGTGCCAAAAATTGTGAAAGATTTTCAACACATGGTGTTCACTTAGTTCCAAACGGAAATCCATATCTTCCGGTCGGACAATACGAAGGAATACTTCCATAGTGATCTCACAGAGTTTTTTGCTTCAAGTGGGTCACTTCAGTGAAGCTCTTGTGCTAGGAGACCCCAACAAAATGGTGTGGCTGAACGGGAGAACCGCCACCTTCTCGAAGTAGCTCGTGGCTTATTAATTCATATGAATGTGCCAAAACGTTTTTGGATGGATGTAGTTTTGTGTGCTACATATATCATCAATTGCATGCCCTCTCGGCTACTAGAGTATAAGGCTCCACATCAGCTTTTGTTTCCTACAGCCTCGTTGTCCACCATTCCGATGCGTGTTTTTGGGTGTCGTTGCTTTGTCCATAACCTGTCCCCTACTCGAGGTAAGCTTGATCCTCGGGCTATTCCTTGCGTTTTTCTTGGTTACCCTTTATCTCAAAAGGGGTATCACTGCTATGGTCCTACCTCTCACAAGTACTATGTCTCCATTGATGTATCCTTCTTTGAGAATCAACCTTTTTTCTCGGTTTCTCCTCAGGGGGAGAGTAGGGTTGAGGAGAAACAGGCGACTCAAACTCAACTACCTCCTTTACCCAATCCTCCTCCATTTCGGGTTTTTCATCGTCGCCATAAAAGCCAACAGAGTTCAAGAGCCGTGGAACCTGACACTATGCAACCAACATCATCGGATTCACCCGAGGCAGATTCGTCTCATCAGCCAGGTACACTTGCTCCTTTTGATATGTCTGTTCCTCTAAATGTTGATTCACCAACCATCAATGATCTTAATATTCCTATTGCTAAGAGAAAGGGTGTTAGGTCTTGTATCACTAATCATCCTATCTCTAATTTTGTGTCCTATGATCATGTTTCACCTTCATACTGTGCATTCCTCTCTTCTGTAGACAGTGTCCCCATTCCTAAGAATGTGGCAGAAGCTTTGTCTAAACCTGAATGGACAGATGCAATGTAGGAAGAAATTGATGCTTTACACAAAAATGGCACTTGGGAGTTGGTGGACCTTCCTGAAGGGAAGAAACCAGTGGGTTGCAAGTGGGTGTTCACAGTGAAACACAAGGTTGATGGAACTGTAGAAAGGTACAAGG